CAGGCCGGCCCTCCCGGGCAGCGCGCAGCATCTCAATGAAGCGGCCGGATGCAGACGAACATTCAGGCAGCTCTCAGGAATGAATAGCCGCCTTTGATTTGGGAGCTGAAGTAAATGCCAGCTCCCAGCCCCGGCTTTAAAAACAGTGGCGCGTTGGTGCCAGAGGAATGCACGGCTCCGGGTGTTGGTGCAAGACAGACTTTTGATGACTCACTGCAATGCAAACAAAGATGGCAGAAATACTGTACTGTACGTGGAGAAATGCTTGGTGGTGCCACGGCAACTGAGACAGCCTGGAAATTTATAGTGCAGTTTTGCATATGAATTACCCAGTAAACTGCCTCCCTGCCATCCAGTACAGCCCCAGTGTCAAAGCATTTAAACTATTCCAAACAGTCTGCAGGGCTGGCACAGCCGCAGTTTAACTCTTCCAGGGCAGGCTGGTGGCTGGGTGGGGGGCTGGGCAGGCGCTGGGGGCCGGATGGGCTAGGGGACAGCTGGGTGAGGAAGGGGAGCAAGCTTGGAGGGAGGAGGGAAAACAGCAGTGGCCCCGGAGAGACACAGATCAGGGCCCTTGGCTCCACCTCCTCCCCCTCTCCTTGGGGCCTCATAACCATGTCCCCTGTGTGGCCAGTGGGTCCCAAAGCAGCAGACCCAGCCAGTCCTGTCCCAGAACCCTCTCACCCCAACTCTTCTCATCCCTGCCTGGCCCTTTAAGAACAACTTTGTGGCCAGGCAGCTCTGCTCCTGCCTACAGTGGAGGTGGGCACCTGCTCCTCTGTACACCCGGTGGTAGCTACAGGGTCTCCCTGCACACCCAGTAGTGAAGTCTAACTGTGCGGTGCCGAGGGGTCCTCAGCTGTGCATCCCTGGGGCACTTTCTGGGGATGAGCAGCTGTGCAGTGCTAGTGCAAAAGGAGGCACCTCCTTCCTGGCTCACAACACCCGCTAAACCTCGAGGACCCTGGGGCACACCATTGGAGAGCCACCTAGGTTACCCACCTGCCACCAACAGTGTCCCCAGCAAGAACATATTCTACCAGCAAGAAGACAGACTGGAGTGGGAGGTGGTGAGGTCTGCGGCACTCCAGCCGAGATTCTGCCACCTACCACTGTCACCCTTGAAACCACAGCAGGAAGTAGGCCTGGTGGAGGCAGCCACACCACCCAGCCCCTCAGCCCAGCATCCCCTCCAAGCCTTCCCAAGATGAAAGGAGGAGACATCTGCACCTCCCTGTCTACACACTGTGGGCTCCACTTCCAAACACCAGACAAAAAGCCGGCACAGGGGAAGAGGAAATGCAGTGGGGAAGTCACCCACGGGCCATTCAGAGGGCCTCTGGGGTGGATTTGTGCCTGGTCTTCTTTGCCTTCCACAGAGATTAGAGATTAATGACAACTCTTGGGGTGACTGTGAGAGGCACTGGGATGGTTGCAGGATGGCTCAGCGGCTGGAAGAGCTGGGCTTGTGAGGCAAGGAGGCCTAGGGCTCAGTCCTGTCTCCCCAGAGGCCACACCCCTGCCCTCGGGTTGCAGCTGTCGCTGCTTCCTCCAGGAAGTCCTTCAGGAACCTGCCTCAGGAGGCCCACAAGGGCAGGGCCAGGTGTGCCCAGGGCCTGGTGGGTAGTGAACTGGTTGCTTACTGCTGGATGGAGACTCTGCTGCCCAGCCACCCACAGCATGAAGGGAAGGGCCCTACAGGCTCCCTTCACAGAGGCCTGGGCACCGCTCACCAGGGCCTCCGGGTCAGCCTCTGCTTCTGTGCAGGCAACCTCAGCCAAGGGCAGTGAGGCAGGGCCACCTGAGCCAGCAGGGCTCTCCTGCCAGGAGAGGTGGCCTAGCCCGGCCACAGGTAGACAGAGGCCAGCACCCTGTACACTGGCTCAGAGGGTCCTGACGCAGCCAGGTGCAACACAGCAGGTAGCAGAGGGTGCTCCTGGGCCTGTCCCTTCCAACGGAGCAGGCCCTGTGTCCTTCCCATGACACTGCAGTCTCAGGTGCCAATTGTGAACCCAGGGTCAGGGTGGACCCTGGGACAGCCACTGAGGACAGAAAGAGGCAACCTTCGTAAAGCCTTCAGCTTGAGCAGAGGGCATGCTGGCAATACCCGTGACTCGCCGTGACCCAGGCAGGTGGGCACCTGCAGCCACGCCTCAGGGCCTGAGCCAGAAAAGGGCCCATTACATCCCCAGAAAATGATGAGGCCAACTCATCCCTGGGGACTGAGGACAACTGGCGCTTGTGCTTCCCTGTCCTCAGGCCACCTGTCCTGGCAAGGCTGCTGCCCACACCTGGCCTTCGAGAACCGGATAGGAGCTGGTTTTAGGTTGCTTTCTTAGAAGCCTTGCCTGGGGCAAGAACAAAGCTGAACTTTAGGAGGAAAGAATAGGTGGACACTCTCGGGGACTGAAAGCAGGACAAGCCAAGGGCTGCCCCTCAAGCTGTAGCTGGAGAGCAAAGGGCCTCTGTCTAAACAGGCCATGGGCTGCAGCACAGCTGCCCAGGGGAGGGACTAGGCCTGGGTCTTGGAACACAAGGGCCACCACACCACTCCCTACACAGCAGTGGTCAGTATGCTCTGTGACCTCTCCCTCTGTGATTCAGTTTCCCCATCCCTTTGCTGCCCCGGCAAGGCTACAGAGCCTGTTTCCCCTGCGTGCCCTTTGCTCACAGAAACTTCTCAAGAGTTGAGCAGAAAGTGCACCAGCCACCCCCCCAGCAGGGTGCCTTTCAGAATGGGAACCGCTTGGGAAATCCATGAAAATAACCTAAAGCCCAGGTCCAGGCCCCACTACAGGCCTGCCTGTGCCCTCACCCCACACGGACACATACAGAAGGCTCCTCTGGGCCCACAGACCCCTCCCAGAGGGAGAGAAGATGGTTGGGAGGAGGGGAGGGGGGGTCTTCTCTGCAGGCACTTCCCCAGATGAGGTGGGATCAGGCAGCCCCCAAAGGCAGTGTGACCACAGAAGGACCACAGAAGAAGGGTGGGTACAGGAGCAAGAGCTGGACGCACACAGGAGCTGACCGGTGTCTGACAGAAAGGACACCCCTGCCAGAGTCTGGTCCCAGGAGGGATTCAAATAAGGACACCAAGTCCCAGGAGGGGGCCAAGCCAAGGCTGGCCACATCGGACTCCAGGTGCGACTGGGGACAGGTGCTCCAGCAGACACAAGACCACCCAAGAGCATCTCCCAGGCCAGGGTGTGGGGACAGGGACAGAACGGCCGACCTGGAGGGCCACCTTCTTGGAGGGACGTGCACTTGGCTTCTGCAGGATCACTACCAGCAGGGAAAGCGAGGCGAGACAATCAATTAAATTACATTACTTTGCAGGATTTAATTTTACCAACTAGTAAGAGGTCCTGGCCTCAGCAGACACGCAGCCCTCTGCAGTCGAGGAAGGAGGGGCGGGAGGCACTGGGAGTGCCTGTGGAGAAGAGGGAGCCCTGCCCCATCTATTCCAGTTAGAAACCCCTCCCCAGGAAGCCCTGTCCACCCTGTCAGAGGCCCCTCCCCAGGGGCTGTCCCTGCTGCTGTGTGGCCCCAAGCCCCACCACCGTGGAGAAGACAGCCCAGCAGTAAATAGCAATGGCTCCTGAAAGGCCAGTCCAGGCGCTCCAGGTGTGAGGTGGCCATCCCAGGGCAGCCACTGTGGTGATGCCCCAGCCAGCAGGAACAAAAGACGCGGGGGACAGCCTGTTGGGACTCCCAGGGACGGTGCCTGCACAGGCTCTGGGGATGGGTCTCTTATGTCCCATCCCCACTTCACTAGGGGACAACAGGGACAAGCATGGCCCCAGGTCCATCCTTCCTGCTGGCTGAGGTGTGCCCAGGTCCCACAGGCACCAGATTTGGCCTGAGGTTTGTAT